CGAGACATACATGACACCTCCTGTTGCAGTAGCAGCCACAGTGCCTTCTTCATCGACCCCAAAGACCGCTCGGTGAATCACCTGTTTAGGTGTGAAATAATGCATCCAACATTGTGTTATGTTTTAACAAATTAATGACTACTAATTAATGTAACTAATACTACTGCTGTTGTTGATAACGCTGCTGCGACTACTTTTGCTGCTACCATTACTACTACTACACCTACTGCTGCTACTGCTGCTGCTACTACCTACTACTACAACCGCTACTATTACTACTGTAATACTGCTGCTACTTACTACTACCACTACTAGTACCGCTACTACTATACTGCCGCTGCTGCTACTACTACTAATACTGCATTTTTCTTTCGCTCTACTCCTCCTTCTTTCTTTCTTTTCCTTCCTCTTCTACTGCCGATGCTCCTTCTTCCTCTGATTCATTATCACCGTCGTCATCATCATCATCATCTTCTTCTTTTCATCCCCCTCTTACTCATCCTCTTTCTCCTTCTCTTTCATCTATAGCTTGTATTTTATCCCCATATGTATGTGTTTTCATTTCGCAAAATGTAAGCAGTGTATTGTTCGTGGATAAGTTTCCTAAATATTCTATCTTTGGTGCAAGTGTCGCAGCATGTCCTGTTTATAATACTGAAGAATCTACAGGTCTTCTTTTATTTGCCAGTGTGTCTTTTCTCTTCAGCTCTAATAAGGATATTAGCGTTTCAAGAATTAATCAATCAGTCAACGAATAAATCAGTCAATCAAATTAGCAAGCATGCAATTACGTATTTAAAGTTTTGCTACTTTGCAGTGGTTGTTATTCATTGTTCTTGCAAGAATGTAATCATTGCCTAACTTCGTGGTAAAAGTATCCACATATTCTCATGGCATTTATGCAGTCTCCTGTGGCATCAGATAATCCTGATAAGTACAAGGACTCATCTCATACAAAGCATATTCGTTTCCATTGTATGTTAAAAATGCCAGACATGGTCATTCACGATAAACTATACAAGAAAATTAGAAACCATGGAAAGGAAATGTCCTAGATGGGCCGCAGGAGTGACCAGACATGATAAAATCAGGAATGAAGTCATACAAGAGAAAAGTTGTCAATTACATACAAAACGTAAATCAAATGATCGGCCCACTTAGAGAGAATGTCTTGTGTCGCTGTACTATTCAAGGCATTTACTAAAAGAGGAGAAGGATGCAGACCTAAAAAGATGAAAAGATAACCTTAGAAAGAATCTACAGCAGCAACATGTGTCTATTGTCGAGACGACCAGCAGGGGAAGAAGAAGAACCTTGCATCTCCCTCGACACCCGAAGCAGTAAAAGAGAAAGCGGAGAAGAAGAAAAAGACACATAGTTTGAAAGGTTCTTCGTCAATCGTCATGTATTTTTCATAAAGTCGCTCTTATTACGGCACGCATGCACGTCTCTCATTCTCTAGCTAGGTCTCCATCCCTATTTACTCTGACAGCGAGTGTATCGTCGATGTCTTGTGTCCACGTTTGTGGAGGTCAGTGTCTGCTTCGTTTTCCAGTAACTGCCTCTCAACACCGTTCTCTCCAGGTCACTGTGACATTAAATATGGCCCAAGTGCTTCAGTTTTCAGAAATCTGTGCTGTTTATGAGCCAAATCTCAACAAAGCTCACATCATGTCGGACACGACTGTTCAGCTAAGTTTACTCAGGGGCCAGCATTTTCAGTATGGACATCTTCACGGGCCAGCGATCCGAGCCCCAGCATAGTTAGTTGCGTATCCTTTACAGGACGTTGCAGAACCCACCCCAACATTTTTTTTTACAGTTGTGGTTTTTCTAGGTAGATTTTCATCCAGTAGTTTGCCATTGCTTGCTAGACGGTCGGTGTCTCGATATCACTATCGAAACCAACGCAAAGCGCAAGGCCCGCTGCTGGGATCGAACCCGGCAACCCGGCATTACGAAGAGCGTTCGCAACGCTTAAGCCACAGACGCCGACTTTATTATCATTAATACAACAGTCAATCATCAACGGGCGACTTGGACCGTCAATTGAATAGCCCAGATCTAGGATGTCAGCGTGTGTCTTCTTCTTGGTCCATTCTATTATAAAAATTGTCTGTAGCATTAATGAAATGTTTACGTACTATGATAGATGTAAAGAGGAAAGATCGACTTAGGAACGATGATATCAGGAGGAATGAGCACATAACCAATACTGAATTTTATAAGTAGGCAAAAAATCAAATGGTTCGGCCATGTAACAAGATTGGCAGCAGACAGGGCACCACAGAGAGCAAGGTTAAACAGATACAGTGGTAACAGAAGAAGTGGTAACAGACCCAGAGGTCGACTACGCAGAAGATGGACCGCATAAATATCAGAGACACTGAAATGTATTATTTACCACGCGAACAGAAGGGCCCGATCTAGAGATCTCTTCTTCCCCTGACGCCGCGAGGCATTTCAGGAGTAGAGAAAAGAAGAAAAGAAGAAGAGGTGATCGAGTTAAAGTCGACGACGTGACACGGTAAGGGTGCATGATGTCATAATGTTTCCTATACCTAGCTTGTAGGTGTTGTACTATACATGTTCATCTTACATGCCGAAAACATCAGGCTAATCCAAGTTGTCCCCCATGTGGGATGACCTTTTTCGTTATCTGAAGCCTCACCCTGGCTTTTGCAGGGTGCCCTGAATATATATGGGCCAAAGTTGTGGCCATAACGGCTGTAAGGGGTTTCTGGGACCTTTCCACGGGTGATCCTCATCCGCATGATGGCGCTTTGTGTCACCGGATGTGATCGCTTGGGCGATGTCCTGGTGGGTACAACAAGCAATCAAGCTGAAGTCATTAGCTACACTTATTCTTTTGTCAACAGCTGCTCCGTGTGGCCAGGCGTCACATTTTAACAGATGATCGGAAACCTAGTCAGGGCGTGCGCGGCTGCTGTGATGAGTGACTCCTTCAATCCATTCTTTCTTCATTTTATCAGCGATTGTGCATACTTGTGTGTGTTTTTGTGTATGTGTTGGTTAGCTTAGAAGGTTGCTAAAGGATACCAACAGCCGTCTTTACAAATCTACAATCTTTTTTACTAAAACTCTCGGATTTTAACCTTTGTTTCCGGCTTGTTTCAAAACATTTTCATTGTACATGGTATTATTTATACGTTGTTTACAAGTATAATTCTGTAACTGAATTATTCAGGGAACCCACCCCCCCCCCCCACCCCCCAAAGAGAAAATTGATTCAGTGTGATCGGTAAAATTTTAGTTTCTAATCTCCATTTGCCAGGACCTAAAAACTGTTTTCTATATCATCATCATCATCGTCATTGTAATCATCATCGTCATTGCCAATATTATCGCCATTTCCACTATTATTGTCGTCATCATCATTGTCATCATCATTATTGTCATCATCCTCGTCATTGGCGCCATCATTGTCATCATCATCATTGTCAACATCATCGTTGTCAGCTTCGTCATTGTCAGTATCATCGTCACTGTCACCATTATTGTCACCATCATCGTCATTGTCATCATTCTCGTAATTGTCACACCATTATTGTCATCATCATCATTGTAATCAGCATCATTGTCATCATCATCATCCACCTTGTTATTATCATCAGTATCATCATCATCATTGTCATCATCGTCATTGTCATCATCATCATTAGAATCATTATCATTTTCATTATCATTGTCATCATCATCATCATCATCAATGTTATCATCATCATTTTCATCATCATCATCCTTATTGTTATTATCATTAAAGTCATCATCATCATTGTCATCATCATTGTCATCATCATCATTGTCATCATCATCGTCATCATCATCCTCATCATCATTGTCATCATCATAATCATTGTCATCACCATCATTGTCATCCTCCTCCTAATCATCATTGTCATCATCATCATTGTCATAATCATCATCATTGTCATCATCATCATCATTGTCATCATCATTGTCATCATTGTCATCATCATTGTCATCATCATCATCATTGTGATCATCATCATTGTCATCATCATTGTCATCATCATTGTCATTATCATCATCATTGTCATCATCATCATTGTCATCACTATCATCATTGTCATCATCCTCATCATTGTCATCATCATTGTCATCATCATTTTCATCTTCATTGTCATCATTATCATCATTGTCATCATCATCATTGTCATCATCATTGTCATCATCATTTTCATCATCATTGTCATCATCATCATTGTTATCATCATCATCATTGTCATCATCATCATCATTGTCATCATCATCATCATTGCCATCATCATTATCATTGTCATCATTATCATTGTCATCGTTATCGTCATCTTCATTACCCTCATCATCATCATTGTTATCATCATCATCATTGTCATCATCTTCATCATCATCATCATTATTATTATCATTATTGTCATCATCCTCATCATGATAATCTTTGTTATCATCATTATTGTCATCATCATCATCATCATTGTCATCATCGTCATTGTCACCATCATCATTGTCAATCATCATCGTCATTGTAATCATCATCATTGTCAATCATATTCATCACTGTCATCATCATCATTGTCATCATCATCGTCATTATCAACCTCACCACTTTTATCAGCATTCTTACAACTATCATATCACTATGGTCATCAACATCATCACCACTATAACAATATCATCATCACAATCGTCATCTTTATCATCATCATCATCTTTCTCAAAACTATCATCGTCATCACCACCACTACTGTCATCATCATCACTATCACCATCATCAACATCATGTAACAGGTCCTTTTTTAGAGCGCGGCACTAAACATTTGCTGGAGAACGTTTTCTTTCCCTTGCCAATTTCCCCACCTCGAGGACTGTTTGCTCCCAGTACTATATTACTAAATAGCGTATAACAGAAAATGTCTTAATCAAAGCGAACGTAACATTTGTGTGCAAACAAAAGTAGAAGCGTGGGGTACAAGTGTCTAGTTCTTCAGGTTTTCACCCCCTGGGTTGGTGAATCGGCCAATGAAGAGATTGATGCCATAAACTTTATCTCTCAACACAAACATGAAAGGACGGTTGGCTATCACTCTGGGTGGAAGTGACATAGCAACTCCAATACTGGTTGCAGCAGCAGCCACAGTGCCTTCTTCGTCAACTTCAATGACAGCTCGGTGAAGGACCTGTTCAGCATTGAAATAATTCATCAGTCAAGTCACTGTCTTGTCTTCTTCTTCTTCTTCTTCTTCTTCTTCTTCTTCTTCTTCTTCTTCTTCTTCTTCTTCTTCTTTTTCTTCTTCTTCTTCTTCTTCTTCTTCTTCTTCTTCTTCTTCTTCTTCTTCTTCTTCTTCTTCTTCTTCTTCTTCTTCTTCTTCTTCTTCTTCTTCTTCTTCTTCTTCTTCTTCTTCTTCTTCTTTTTCGTCCACTCTATCCTTAATATTATTATTCAGCGCTGTTTTCATTATCCTCATCATCATCATCAACGCCATGAATACCAGCACCATCATCATCACCACCATTATTATCACTACCATTATCATCCTTATAATTCGTGGCCATCATTTTCATTATTGTTATCAATATCCTCATCAGCATCAACACCACTTTCTTCTTCTTCTTCTTCTTCTTCTTCTTCTTCTTCTTCTTCTTCTTCTTCTTCTTCTTCTTCTTCTTCTTCTTCTTCTTCTTCTTCTTCTTCTTCTTCTTCTTCTTCTTTTTCTTCTTCTTCTTCTTCTTCTTCTTCTTCTTCTTCTTCTTCTTCTTCTTCTTCTTCTTCTTCTTCTTCTTCTTCTTCTTCTTCTTCTTCTTCTTCTTCTTCTTCTTCTTCTTCTTCTTCTTCTTCTTCTTCTTCTTCTTCTTCTTCTTCTTCTTCTTCTTCTTCTTCTTCTTCTTCTTCTTCTTCTTCTTCTTCTTCTTCTTCTTCTTCTTCTTCTTCTTCTTCTTCTTCTTCTTCTTCTTCTTCTTCTTCTTCTTTTTCTTCTTTTTCTTCTTCTTCATCTTCTTTCTTCTTCTTCTTCATCTTCTTCTTCTTCTTCTTCTTCTTCTTCTTCTTCTTCTTCTTCTTCTTCTTCTTCTTCTTCTTCTTCTTCTTCTTCTTCTTCTTTCTTCTTCTTCTTCTTCTTCTTCTTCTTCTTCTTCTTCTTCTTCTTCTTCTTCTTCTTCTTCTTCTTCTTCTTCTTCTTCTTCTTCTTCTTCTTCTTCTTCTTCTTCTTCTTCTTCTTCTTCTTCTTCTTTTTCGCCGACCTTCTCTTCTTTCTGTGCTTTTACTTCAGCCGCTCCTTCTGCTTCTAATTTTCTGGCTTGTGTCTTACAACTGTGGGTATGTGTATTCTTCTTTGACTCTTCCTACTTCTCATGCTTCTTCTTGTTTAATATCCTGGCTACTCCTCTTTTTCCTTTTTGTCTGTTTCTCTGCTTTTGCTTGATTCCTAAATGAAGCATTGCCTGGTGAAATCACATAGCCTCAAAACATGCTGGGGTTGGTTCTACAGAATCCTATAAGACATTTTTAAACAACTGTTTTTTTCTTTCTCAAAAAAGTATTTACCATTCTGAGGTCTGGAACTCGCCGTGGACTTAGCGGCTAGACGCCGGCCTGCGGAACAGAAGGTCGTAGGTTGGCGTCCTCACGAAGACGGACTTTTAATTTGTATTTTAAATGAACTTGACTCCAATTTTGACTAAGCCTTGAGTGGGTACCAGGTGCAGTCCTGGGAAGTAAAGGCGACCTGGCGTGATACTAACCACTTCACCCACCAAGTGCCGATTGGTCTTTAAAAAAAATAGGTCTAGCCCTATATTCCCAATATGCTTGAAGGCTTGGAAAAACGACCTTACTTTATTCTGAGGTCTGCCATTTCACTCTTCCTTTCTCCGAGTTTGTTTAGTGTATCGGTCTGTATTTTCTCTCTCCGTTTATTCTGAGGTCTGCCATTTCCCTCTTCCTTTCTCCGAGTTTGTTTAGTGTTTCGGTCTGTATTTTCTATCTCCGTTTATTCTGAGGTCTGCCATTTCACTCTTCCTTTCTCCGAGCTTGTTTAGTGAATCGGTCTGTATTTTCTCTCTCCGTTTATTCTGAGGTCTGCCATTTCACTCTTCCTTTCTTCGAGTTTGTTTGGTGTATCGGTCTGTTTTTTCTCTCTCCGTTTATTCTGAGGTCTGCCATTTCACTCTTCCTTTCTTCGAGTTTGTTTAGTGTATCAGTCTGTATTTTCTCTCTCCGTTTATTCTGAGGTCTGCCATTTCACTCTTCCTTTCTCCGAGTTTGTTTAGTGAATCGGTCTGTATTTTTTCTCTCCGTTTATTCTGAGGTCTGCCATTTCACTCTTCCTTTCTCCGAGTTTGTTTAGTGTATCGGTCTGTATTTTCTCTCTCCGTTTATTCTGAGGTCTGCCATTTCACTCTTTCTTTCTCCGAGTTTGTTTAGTGTATCGGTCTGTATTTTCTCTCTCCGTTTATTCTGAGGTCTGCCATTTCACTCTTCCTTTCTACGAGTTTGTTTAGTGTTTCGGTCTGTATTTTCTCTCTCCGTTTATTCTGAGGTCTGCCATTTCACTCTTCCTTTCTCCGAGCTTGTTTAGTGTATTGGTCTGTATTTTCTCTCTCCGTTTATTCTGAGGTCTGCCATTTCACTCTTCCTTTCTTCGAGTTTGTTTGGTGTATCGGTCTGTATTATCTCTCTCCGTTTATTCTGAGGTCTGCCATTTCACTCTTCCTTTCTTCAAGTTTGTTTAGTGTATCAGTTTGTATTTTCTCTCTCCGTTTATTCTGAGGTCTGCCATTTCACTCTTCCTTTCTTCGAGTTTGTTTAGTGTTTCGGTCTGTATTTTCTCTCTCCGTTTATTCTGAGGTCTGCCATTTCACTCTTCCTTTCTCCGAGCTTGTTTAGTGTATTGGTCTGTATTTTCTCTCTCCGTTTATTCTGAGGTCTGCCATTTCACTCTTCCTTTCTTCGAGTTTGTTTGGTGTATCGGTCTGTATTTTCTCTCTCCGTTTATTCTGAGGTCTGCCATTTCACTCTTCCTTTCTTCGAGTTTGTTTAGTGTATCAGTCTGTATTTTCTCTCTCCGTTTATTCTGAGGTCTGCCATTTCACTCTTCCTTTCTCCGAGTTTGTTTAGTGAATCGGTCTGTATTTTTTCTCTCCGTTTATTCTGAGGTCTGCCATTTCACTCTTCCTTTCTCCGAGTTTGTTTAGTGTATCGGTCTGTATTTTCTCTCTCCGTTTATTCTGAGGTCTGCCATTTCACTCTTTCTTTCTCTGTGTTTAGTGTATCGGTCTGTATTTTCTCTCTCCGTTTATTCTGAGGTCTGCCATTTCACTCTTCCTTTCTTCGAGTTTGTTTAGTGTATCAGTCTGTATTTTCTCTCTCCGTTTATTCTGAGGTCTGCCATTTCACCCTTCCTTTCTCTGAGTTTGTTTAGTGAATCGGTCTGTATTTTCTCTCTCCGTTTATTCTGAGGTCTGCCATTTCACTCTTCCTTTCTCCGAGCTTGTTTAGTGTATCGGTCAGTATTTTCTCTCTCCGTTTATTCGGAGGTCTGCCATTTCACTCTTCCTTTCTCCGAGTTTGTTTAGTGTATCGGTCTGTATTTTCTCTCTCCGTTTATTCTGAGGTCTGCCATTTCACTCTTCCTTTCTTCGAGTTTGTTTAGTGTATCAGTCTGTATTTTCTCTTTCCGTTTATTCTGAGGTTTGCCATTTCACTCTTCCTTTCTCTGAGTTTGTTTAGTGTATCGGTCTGTGTTTTCTCTCACCGATTTTTTTCTGAGGTCTGCCATTTCACTCTTCCTTTCCTCGAGTTTGTTTATAGTTTCTGTCTGTATTTTCTCTCTCCGTTTATTCTGAGGTCTGCTATTTCACTCTTCCTTTCTCCGAGCTTGTTTAGTGAATCGGTCTGTATTTTCTCTCTCCGTTTATTCTGAGGTCTGCCATTTCACTCTTCCTTTCTTCGAGTTTGTTTGGTGTATCAGTCTGTATTTTCTCTCTCCGTTTATTCTGAGGTCTGCCATTTCACTCTTCCTTTCTCCGAGTTTGTTTAGTGAATCGGTCTGTATTTTCTCTCTCCGTTTATTCTGAGGTCTGCCATTTCACTCTTCCTTTCTCCGAGTTTGTTTAGTGAATCGGTCTGTATTTTCTCTCTCCGTTTATTCTGAGGTCTGCCATTTCACTCTTCCTTTCTCCGAGTTTGTTTAGTGTATCGGTCTGTATTTTCTCTCTCGGTTTATTCTGAGGTCTGCCATTTCACTCTTTCTTTCTCCGAGTTTGTTTAGTGTATCGGTCTGTATTTTCTCTCTCCGTTTATTCTGAGGTCTGCCATTTCACTCTTCCTTTCTACGAGTTTGTTTAGTGTTTCGGTCTGTATTTTCTCTCTCCGTTTATTCTGAGGTCTGCCATTTCACTCTTCCTTTCTCCGAGCTTGTTTAGTGTATTGGTCTGTATTTTCTCTCACCGATTTTTTTCGAGGTCTGCCATTTCACTCTTCCTTTCTTCGAGTTTGTTTATAGTTTCTGTCTGTATTTTCTCTCTCCGTTTATTCAGAGGTCTGCCATTTCACTCTTCCTTTCTTCAAGTTTGTTTAGTGTATCAGTCTGTATTTTCTCTCTCCGTTTATTCTGAGGTCTGCCATTTCACTCTTCCTTTCTTCGAGTTTGTTTAGTGTTTCGGTCTGTATTTTCTCTCTCCGTTTATTCTGAGGTCTGCCATTTCACTCTTCCTTTCTCCGAGCTTGTTTAGTGTATTGGTCTGTATTTTCTCTCTCCGTTTATTCTGAGGTCTGCCATTTCACTCTTCCTTTCTTCGAGTTTGTTTGGTGTATCGGTCTGTATTTTCTCTCTCCGTTTATTCTGAGGTCTGCCATTTCACTCTTCCTTTCTTCGAGTTTGTTTAGTGTATCAGTCTGTATTTTCTCTCTCCGTTTATTCTGAGGTCTGCCATTTCACTCTTCCTTTCTCCGAGTTTGTTTAGTGAATCGGTCTGTATTTTTTCTCTCCGTTTATTCTGAGGTCTGCCATTTCACTCTTCCTTTCTCCGAGTTTGTTTAGTGTATCGGTCTGTATTTTCTCTCTCCGTTTATTCTGAGGTCTGCCATTTCACTCTTTCTTTCTCTGAGTTTGTTTAGTGTTTCGGTCTGTATTTTCTCTCTCCGTTTATTCTGAGGTCTGCCATTTCACTCTTCCTATCTCCGAGTTTGTTTAGTGTATCAGTCTGTATTTTCTCTCTCCGTTTATTCTGAGGTCTGCCATTTCACTCTTCCTTTCTCTGAGTTTGTTTAGTGAATCGGTCTGTATTTTCTCTCTCCGTTTATTCTGAGGTCTGCCATTTCACTCTTCCTTTCTCCGAGCTTGTTTAGTGTATCGGTCAGTATTTTCTCTCTCTGTTTATTCGGAGGTCTGCCATTTCACTCTTCCTTTCTCCGAGTTTGTTTAGTGTATCGGTCTGTATTTTCTCTCTCCGTTTATTCTGAGGCCTGCCATTTCACTCTTCCTTTCTTCGAGTTTGTTTAGTGTATCAGTCTGTATTTTCTCTTTCCGTTTATTCTGAGGTTTGCCATTTCACTCTTCCTTTCTCTGAGTTTGTTTAGTGTATCGGTCTGTGTTTTCTCTCACCGATTTTTTTCTGAGGTCTGCCATTTCACTCTTTCTTTCCTCGAGTTTGTTTATAGTTTCTGTCTGTATTTTCTCTCTCCGTTTATTCTGAGGTCTGCTATTTCACTCTTCCTTTCTTCGAGTTTGTTTGGTGTATCGGTCTGTATTTTCTCTCTCCGTTTATTCTGAGGTCTGCCATTTCACTCTTCCTTTCTTCAAGTTTGTTTAGTGTATCAGTCTGTATTTTCTCTCTCCGTTTATTCTGAGGTCTGCCATTTCACTCTTCCTTTCTCCGAGTTTGTTTAGTGAATCGGTCTGTATTTTCTCTCTCCGTTTATTCTGAGGTCTGCCATTTCACTCTTCCTTTCTCCGAGTTTGTTTATTGTATCGGTCTGTATTTTCTCTCTCCGTTTATTCTAAGGTCTGCCATTTCAATCTTCCTTTCTCCGAGTTTGTTTAGTGTATCAGTCTGTGTTTTCTCTCTCGGTTTATTCTGAGGTCTGCCATTTCACTCTTCCTTTCTCCGAGTTTGTTTAGTGAATCGGTCTGTATTTTTTCTCTCCGTTTATTCAGAGGTCTGCCATTTCACTCTTCCTTTCTCCGAGTTTGTTTAGTGTATCGGTCTGTATTTTCTCTCTCCGTTTATTTTGAGGTCTGCCATTTCACTCTTCCTTTCTCCGAGTTTGTTTAGTGTATCGGTCTGTGTTTTCTCTCACCGATTTTTTCCGAGGTCTGCCATTTCACTCTTCCTTTCCTCGAGTTTGTTTATAGTTTCTGTCTGTATTTTCTCTCTCCGTTTATTCTGAGGTCTGCCATTTCACTCTTCCTTTTTCCGAGTTTGTTTAGTGAATCGGTCTGTATTTTCTCTCTCCGTTTATTCTGAGGTCTGCCATTTCACTCTTCCTTTCTCCAAGCTTGTTTAGTGTATTGGTCTGTATTTTCTCTCTCCGTTTATTCTGAGGTCTGCCATTTCACTCTTCCTTTCTCCGAGTTTGTTTAGTGAATCGGTCTGTATTTTTTCTCTCCGTTTATTCTGAGGTCTGCCATTTCACTCTTCCTTTCTCCGAGTTTGTTTATTGTATCGGTCTGTATTTTCTCTCTCCGTTTATTCTAAGGTCTGCCATTTCACTCTTCCTTTCTCCGAGTTTGTTTAGTGTATCAGTCTGTGTTTTCTCTCTCGGTTTATTCTGAGGTCTGCCATTTCACTCTTCCTTTCTCCAAGTTTGTTTAGTGTATCGGTCTATGTTTTCTCTCACCGATTTTTTCTGAGGTCTGCCATTTCACTCTTCCTTTCCTCGAGTTTGTTTATAGTTTCTGTCTGTATTTTCTCTCTTCGTTTATTCTGAGGTCTGCCATTTCACTCTTCCTTTCTCCGAATTTGTTTAGTGTTTCGGTCTGTATTTTCTCTCTCCGTTTATTCTGAGGTCTGCCATTTCACTCTTCCTATCTCCGAGTTTGTTTAGTGTATCGGTCTGTATTTTCTCTCTCCGTTTATTCTGAGGTCTGCCATTTCACTCTTCTTTTCTTCGAGTTTGTTTATAGTTTCGGTCTGTATTTTCTCTCTCCGTTTATTCTGAGGTCTGTCATTTCACTCTTCCTTTCTTCGAGTTTGTTTAGTGTTTCGGTCTGTATTTTCTCTCTCCCTTTATTCTGAGGTCTGTCATTTCCCTCTTTCTTTCTACGAGTTTGTTTAGTGTTTCGGTCTGTATCTCTTCTCTCCGTTTATTCTGAGATCTGTTATTTCCCTCTTCCTTTCTTCGAGTTTGTTTAGTGTTTCGATCTGGCTGTTTAGACCATAGACACATCGTAGTGCTGTAGTGTTTCTCTGATGTTATCTTACCATATGGTTCTTGGTCTACCTCTTGCTTTATGTCCCTCTTTTCTTTTGGTATATGACTTGTATGGTATAGTATCAGAAGGTATTATAACTATATGTATGAATACTGATAAGCATTATTGCCAACGACATTTGGCAGGCATGTTTGTAATTACTTGTTGAGTGTCAACTTGAGTGATTGAAACTTCCTTTTCTTCATCTTCTTCTTCGCGTAAAATACTGCTAAAATGTATAGTTGTTCCTCCACTTCTGAACTTGATTCTTGCCCTGGAACCTGAGTTTTGCGTACATATCCATTTTACAGATCTGACTTATTTGTTTGCTGACTGCTGGTCCCTGCTCTCTCAGGTAAACTTCAAAGGAGACACCCCTAATTAGTCAACCTTCACGACAGTTGTTGGGTGTTAATGCTCCTGCAGGTGCCAGTTACAACCTGATTCAAAGTTCGCCTGTCGTTTCCCTTGCGTTCTGTATAACGCCCAGATTTTCTGCTCATTCGTCGCTGAATTAGTCTCTCCAGGTATATGTGCTCTCTCTCTCTCTCTCTCTCTCTCTCTCTCTCTCTCTCTCTCTCTCTCTCTATATATATATATATATATATATATATATATATATATATATATATATATATATATATATATATATATGTTGCACTATTCACTTGTTCCATGCACGCCTCTACCACGTCTCCGGTGCGAGATTGTCACATCAATGTGAAACGGCATCAAATATAGAGAACAAAGAAAAAGAAAAAACGTTGCAAAAGTGTCCAGCATACTGAGAGCAGATTTTTTTTTGGGTGCGGGTTGGGGTGGGGGGGGGGGGGGGGGGGGGGTTCTTTAGTTCTGCAGACAAACTGTGAAGAAAATTATTCCAGCTGGCGTCTGAAAACGCTATAAAATGAAGGAGAAGCAGCAAGAGGGGCAGAGGATGGGAAGACAGAGCAAAGTAAGACCGAAGAGTAAAGAAGAAAAAGCAGTAAACAGGGAGGAGAGGAAAGAAGAGGCGTAGGAAGAAGAGAAGGACCATACGATAATGAAAAGTAATACTGGTAACAAATAATAATAGAAACAGTAATAATAATAATAATAATAATAATGATAATGATAATGATAATAATAATAATAATAATAATAATAATAATAATAATAATAATAATAATAATAAGAAGAAGAAGAAGAAGAAGAAGAAGAAGAAGAAGAAGAAGAAGAAGAAGAAGAAGAAGAAAAGGAAGAAGAAGAAGAAGAAGAAGAAGAAGAAGAAGAAGAAGAAGAAGAAGAAGAAGAAGAAGAAGAAGAAAAAGAAAAAGAAGAAGCGACATTCCGAATTCTTACCTCACTGACAGAAACACTTCTGTCTTTAGTCATTTTCTTGAAAGAGGCTTTGCTGGGGTCAAACACCTGTGTGATACCAATGCTTTGCAGCATGTCTCTCATTGTTTCTTCCGTGTCCAGCTCAAATTTAGGCAGCTGTACATCCAAGTCTCGTCTGCAAATATATGGAACAGCTACTGAAGCCTTACATTTTTTCTCCCGCTTGTGATGGACGAGCAGCTTCACTGGTTAGCAACAAGTTGACAGATACCAAGTATATGATAAGTAAGTAAAGGTCCCTTTTCCACGCCTTTAGGCGCGTAGGGCATATAGGGCTAGACCTTTATTTGTATATACCAATCAGCACAAGATGTGTGATGTGGTCAGCATCACGCCGGGCCGCCTTTTCTTCTCTGGACTGCACCCGTTACTCACTCAAGGCTGGGTCTACTTGGGGAGTCAAGGTCATTGTTGAAAAAAGTCCTGATCCGAAAGGGAGCGAACCCACTACCTTCCGATCCCGACGCGAGCGTCGAGCCGCTACGCCACGGCGACTCCCGCTTATATAATAATCTTATACAAAAGGCAGAGGGCGTACAAGAAGAATATAGACTGATGGCATTACATATATTGCTTGTTCGTAGAGAATGATAGATAATAACATAATTGTATCGATACCCAAGGCCATATTTATTAAGTATGACGCCCATGTGCAGTCATTTATTTTACAGCCCCTCTTTCCACAGCTAAACATAGACATCGCTATTGCTAAGCTCTTTCGTTGCCAATTTGCTATTCTAGTTTTCTGGAAAAAACCATATCACCAGATGGAGAATTTGTGACAGAAATTAAAAGCAGAATAGGTCAAGCGAAAGCTGCATTTCAAAAAATGAAAAATATCTTATGCAATAAATCGCTCTCATTTAATGTCAGAAAGAGAGTGCTAAAATGTTACATAGAGCCTGTTCTGCTGTATGGGAGCGAATCCTGGAATGTCACTGAACAAATTAGGAAGAATTTGGAAGTAACAGAGATGTGGTTTCTGAGACCAATGTTACGAATACCTTGGACGGCCAGAGTAACTAACAACGATTGCTTGAAAGAAGCTAATGAAAGTAGATCACTATAGATCACTATACACAACAATAAGAAAGAGGCAAACACTGTTCTTTGGCCAAATAATGAGAAGAGAGACATTGGAGAACATCGTGATAACTGGAAAGATCAGTGGATAAAAAGGTAGAGGCAGATCAAGAGAGATAATGCTGGATGGGCTAAAACGATGGCATGGAGGGATATCATCAAGAGAGCTGTTCCAGTCAACCAGGGATCTTGATCTGTGGAGACGCATAAGCACCTACGCCAGTTGGCAGGGCACATAATAATGAGTGCAGGTTTCGCGATGATTAAAATTTTTTTTTTATTACTACTAGTTATATTTAGCCGCCATCGACATTTTGCTAACGCCTAAATACGGCCTTGTCAGTACAATACAACTGAGTGTTTCTGTTATAATATAACTTATATTTTTACCAAATTTGCTTTGTATAACTAAATACTCATTTCTTTTTCCAGTCAGCAACTAGCCCATTCAGTCGTTAATTCTATAGTGTGTTTTAAATCCGTTCAAACCCAGATATTTCTGACTTAAAGTAACAAATGCTTAGGAAATAACAAGTTACAAGTAATTCCTGCCTTGATTAATTACTTAACTGTCTACTTTACTGTCATGAAGAAACTGTATATTGTGAATTTGTCCACGAATGCAATAAACTAAACAGTGTGGGATCTTACGCTGGTTGCTGAAGGGTGCTAGAGATCGCTGCATTCAACACCTCTGCAGTCAGTTTGGATTCCACATGGGAGAGGTTTGTGTACGGTAGTATCACGAAGAATGAGAACTGATCTCCCACGTAGGGCAGCTCTAGGATAGCAGCGTCCAGTGGCAGTGACCGTAACATGCGGAATTCACCCATCTGTATCATAGTGTCCACGTTGACGCTCTGTGTTGGAGTCACTGTGTTAGCAAGGGAAAGACAATTAGTACACAATTAGGTAGTTAAAAAAAGTAAAGTTCTTTTTTCACGCCTTTCGGCGCATCGGGCATATGGGCAGAGCGTCCCATAACGTTGTGTAAACCATTAAAATATGCACGAATGTTCATAATTCAATTCCCCGATTCGTTCGATTTCAGTTAGTCACTTTTAACCTCTAACAATATCGGTTATATTTATGGCAACAAATTGTGTTGCTATTTCATTGCTTAGTGTTTGGTGATAGTATTGTATGTCTTCAATGTCTATCTGGCTGGACATGTCATGTTAGCCACAATTTTTTGGATTTCGTGTTTCTAAAGTTTCCATTGTAACAAAAAATTGCCGCTTCGATGACATTCTTTTTGTTTTCCTTCTCCTTCTTTTTTCCCTTCTCCAATTCCTATTTCGATTCCTTTTGATAAAAACATCCAAATCTAAACCACGTTCAACCTGCTGCTAGCTATCCGAAGCTGACAACAGTCTCCGGCTATATTTGTGGTCTTGTTTATTTGCGCCACTTTCGTGGCTAAGGTTCTGGTATTTGCGCTGTCTCTGGGCTTAATGCTTCTTTCCTCCACGTCGGACCGCTCATTCCCTATCCTGTTGTCAACTGTGTTCTTCCTGCCTTTTCATTTCTGATGTTTCCTCCTGGGTTTCAGCTACATCTGATTTGGCCAGGCGTGTTGCTTAGGAGAGCGAGAGACAAGGCCAGGGGCTCTTTAAACGCTGTGGTGCCACACGTGTCCTCCACGAACCCACACGACTTGCTTTTTACCGGAGTGCTAACTTGCAGCACCCGGGACCTCTCTATTGCAGTCGGACAGCACGCCTAAAACCCATGTTCAGTATTTAGTGGCGCGTGTCCACATTACATCATCTTAATCATCAATGCGAATTTATTGTACATGTAGCTGCGGAGTCTACTGTGCCCAGTTACCTCTAAAGCAATGCAGTGTTGTTTTCCTGTAAGGAGGTTGATAGGGTCTTCTGGATCGTATTTTTGATGAGAGGTGTTCCAATAAGTTCTAACAGCTGCCTTGATATGGATGCTATTGTCTTCACAAGTGCGTCCTGTGTATGAATGTTCTGTGTGATTTCCAGTTTTGCCAAGTAACCTGCTCTTTTATATCACGTAATTCGATGACATTGAACGAATTGTTTCCCCTTGTGGGAGGCTCCAGGACCCCATTATAGAAGTGGGTGGGAGTGGGGGGGGGGGGGGGGGAGAGAGAGAGAGAAACTGATAGTTTTTTAAACAGATGTGCATATAAAACTCAGGTTCTGGAACAAGATGAAAGTCCAGAAGTAGATCAACAACTAGAACTTTTCGTCGGAGTTTACAGCCGGTGAACGCCAAGAAAACGAAAAAACCAAAGCCAAGGGTACGAGACAATTGAGAGTTGTCACTGAAAGTACTTACCAGACGTGTGTCTCTTATTCGCAAGGACAATGTAATAAATGTATAAAGTTAGAGGGTACTACTTTTGTAGGACCGGCGTGATGTTGACCATATTGTCCACTCATTGCCATTTTCTGAAGGTAAAGATCAGACAAAGGAGAGGAAACACGCTAAGACAAAAACTGAAAGTTCCGCTGTACTGAAGGACAGGATTGTTCGAAAACATGTTAGGACACATCCTCAAGTTAAAGGTTCTCCAAAGGACAAGATTGTTTATAACTTTTTAGGGCACGCACCTGGGGAAAAATATCTACCGAAAAACATGATTCGCTTGTAATCCGTTAGAACATATACTCATCAACTTTTTCTTTAAAAAAAAAAAAAAAAGTTGCAGGTACTCAAAGTGTCAAATATGGAAAAAAACAAACGAGGGGGTGGTGGGACGCTGGTACTCACTCACTATAAAGTGTTTATTACAGTAGCGCTGAAAATAAATGCTTAAAAAAGTGCCCTGCATTTACTGAAGTTCTGCTAAAGGACATGACTGTATCAACTCATTAGGACATGAACTGACATTAAAGATCCACCAAAGGACAATAAAGTTTGTAAAGTTACACACTCAAGGTACATTCCTACCGATAACATGATTTTGTCCACTTAGTGTTAGAACACACAGAAGCCAAAGACTAGACTGTTATGACAGGACTGTTTGTAACTTGTTATGATAAACATGAACGCTTCTAGCTAGACATGGTCACACACACACACACACACACACACACACACACACACACACACACACACACACACACACACACACACACACACACACACACACACACGCGCACATACACTAGTATGAGCCTCACCAAAAAATGGCAATGGTCTGGTATAATTTCCATCAAATTTACTGTTCCAAGCTCCTTTGAAGTATACGGCATTGATTAGCATAGCTTGGACCTGAGAAGTGATTTGTCCTGGAGAAAGAAAGTCTTTAATCTTTCCGTGCGTTTTATCCTCTACCCAGGCGTTGATAGCACTCTCTGGATTGACAGCCTGGTGGTCAGTAACAGGAAAAGTTAAGGACTCTTATAAAGAATTAGATATATGGTGCTAGAAATGTGTTTATTTTTAACCAATCGACATTCAATGAAGAAGCGAGGAAACAAAAATATCATTTACTTTCCAGGCAATTGTCTGGTACACAGTTTAGGCTTGGCTTATCTTGGAGTCCTGGTCCTCTTTGTTTTCTACTGCTTTTACTCATCGTTTCTTTGAAACCTCTTTTCTCTTCCTTCTCCTCGTCATCAACATTATAATTATCACCTTCATAACTCATCATCGTCATCATCATCTTCATCATCACCATAATCAAATTCTTCTCTTTCTTCTTCTTCTTCTTCTTCTTTTTCTTCTTCTTCTTCTTCTTCTTCTTCTTCTTCTTCTTCTTCTTCTTCTTCTTCTTCTTCTTCTTCTTCTTCTTCTTCTTCTTCTTCTTCTTCTTCTTCTTCTTCTTCTTCTTCTTCTTCTTCTTCTTCTTCTTCTTCTTCTTCTTCTTCTTCTTCTTCTTCCTCCTTCTTCTTCTTCTTTCTTCTTCTTCTTCTTCTTCTTCTTCTTCTTCTTCTTCTTCTTCTTCTTCTTCTTCTTCTTCTTCTTCTTCTTCTTCTTCTTCTTCTTCTTCTTCTTCGTTTTCTTTTTCTGTTTCCTCCTCATTCTGATCCATGCCGTATGGCATTGGCAATCATGTCTCCCCATAGCAAGCTGTCTCA